TCATCTCTGCATGAGAAATGGCAGCTACATGCATGCCACCCTATTGTGTCCCCAGCATCTGGGGCAGTGTCTAGCACCTGGAACATGCCCAGGAAACAGGTGGTGCTGGGCCACACCCTGTTCTCAATGCAAAGTTTCATAGAATCAACATGCTCTCATCTGCAAGGGGCAGCTGCTAGAGCCACTGGGTAAAACCCTTTTTGAGGCATCCATTGAAGGGGGAGGAGTGTCACTCCCCTGTCGTGGTGACTGGTTAATGAGCCGGGGAGGTTTATGGACTGATTGTGTCACATGGTCCCTGTTGCCATAATCACCCCCTCAAGCCCTGAATACACAGCCAAACCCCCAACTTGGGGCCTGTTTAGGGGTGGCAAATAGGTTTCGCTACAGTTGTGCCTGGGGCTCCCAGAGACTGCAATGAAGGACTCTGAAGCCGTGGTTGGGCATCCTGGGAAATGTGTGTGGATTGATTGGCCATGTCTGTCACATGCAAGGGAAGGGAAGGGGAGAGATAAACATACTCTTTGTCAGTTCTCTGTTATTGTGACAAAATACCTCTCATAATTAACTTAAAAAGAGGAAAGGTTGACTTTGGCTCACAGTTTGAGAAGGTGTTTTTGATGATCAGTGGGTCTTGTTACTGGGCCTATGGTGCGATAGCTGTTCACTTTATGGCCAGGATGCAAAAAAAAAAAAAAAAAAATTTAAAGGAGGAAGGAAGAGATCCACATCTCACAGGGCCACTTGAGGGCACTCCCTAATAACCTAAAACCTTCCGCCAGGCCCTCCCACTAAAGGTTCCACCTCCTCCCTATAGCCCCAAGCTGAGGGGGAAGGCTTTGACACATGGACCTCTGGGGAGCATTTACAGATCCAAACTCCAGAGTGCCCTAAGGTTGCCATCTCTGTGTAGGCTGCACTCCACTGAGGGAGAAATGGCCCCCCTTTTGCTCTTGCCCTTCAGGCCCTAGGCAGGGCTGCTCCATAACTGAATGGTGGGCAGAGCTCATGACTGGGCTTTGCCAGCTCCATTTGGAATGACTTTTTAGCCACCTTTAGGTTCCTTCCAGCTCACCTGCTGAATTCCTGGCTGATTACAGATAACAAGGCCTTCCACCGTGTGGGTCTGACTTCCTAGGGAGGGATCGGACCTGCCCTTGCCAGGCCATAAGGGACAGCCATCCATTAGCTTGTGCACTCATTCATGAACACGATTACTGAGCATCCCCGTGTACACCAGGCACTGTGCTGGGCCCTGGAGGTTCAGACACAGGGGGGCCTGTGCTTGCCACATGCTTAGTCCATATTCTTAAGATCACAGAACGGAGGAGGGGAACACAGAAAATGGAACAGCTTAGTGGGCAGAGATCAGCTTTGTCTGGTTCCAGAGGGCTTCTTGTAGAGATGGCCTTGCTGAGACCCAAAGGGCGAGAAGGGATCAGCCCAGGAATGGGAACAGGAGGGAAAACAGGAAGCGGCATCAGCATGTGGAAAGTTCTATAGAGCCTGGCAGCCTCAGGAGTCTTCTCGTGCTCTGTGTCATGGAGTGAGCAGGTAGAATAAGGGGCTG